TTTGAAGGATCCTAACAAGGTAACAAAGGCTGTACTGAGCTTATAGTTAACTGGATCGTTAATCTTTTTTTTGGCAGCATTCGTATTCAGTTTAGTTTCACTCACGACAGTATTTCTTTGTTATGGAAATGATGCATATTCATTATCCTTATTTATCATTATTTATCCATTGTGTATCCTTCTTTTAAAGGGGATGATTCGTATTTACGATATTCCCAACAACACGTTTGATTCGGAAGATGATGATGACGATGATGAAGAAGAAGCTGATGATGAGGATGAAGATGAACAAGAGGAGGAAATTGAGGGTATGTAAGAACAATGTTTTGATGTTTAGGGATAAGTAGGAGCATACGAAGCTCTGTTCTGTTAGTGAATCAATTCTTACTCATTTTTATAGCAAACATTTGACGATGATTTGTTGTTGAAGAATAAATTCAATTTCTATGAATTATTACAAGTACATGATTTTTTTGTTCTTGAATTGTGTAATTCAATATAAGCTTCAATAATTTGCTTCGAAATAAAAATATCTTGAAATGTTCACAAGTGATTGTTTTTAAATTCCATATTGAGACTTCTTAATCAAATATCTCCATGAGTTGAATGTGAATGTCTTAATGGATGATTAATAAACATTATGTATGTGTATTGTTTTGTCGTTTATTCACTTCATTTTGAGTTACATATCAACAGAAGGTTTTACGTTTTTTATGTCATTTGATATTACCAAGTATTAAAGTAAATGGTTTGAACCCGGGAGTATCGTACATGTTTGTAGATGTAGATCGTCCAAGTTACTAGAGCCTTGAGAAAGACTGTTTTTGTTGTTGATAATGTCATACTTATCTTCTCACTTGCTTCTGAGACAGTAAATATCAACATTCCTCACGACTCTACTCTAACCCGGACGATTTACATCTACAAACATGTAATTACCCTCAATGACGTCATGTGGTATTTGGTTTAACAGAATTTTGTTAGTTGTAATACAGCATTGACCATGAACTAACCATACAGCATTGACCATGAACTAACCATACAGCATTGACCATGAACTAACCATACAGCATTGACCATGAACTAACCATAAAGCATTGACCATAAACTAACCATACAGCATTCACCATGAACTAACCATACAGCATTGACCATGAACTAACTATAAAACAATGTACTCATAGTTTAGTCTGATAAATTTTGTGATTTGTTAACATTTTATTTTTTACTTCAGTGATGTTCAATAAGTGAAATTGGACAAAAGAATTTAAAAACCTTTTGATTTTTCCATTTTATCATCCGTTTTTTAGAATGTGGAATCTCTGTTCATGGTTTTTGATATAAGAATTCGATGAAAAATTTTTTACTAGCGTTGATTTATCTCAGCAAATAGCTTTAAGAAATTACTACATGTGTCTTTTTTCATGCATTCGTTTGCTGAGGTATTATGGTGGGCCCTGGGGATGTCATTTGCGACTCTCAGTGTGTACTCTCTCATCCCCCCCCCCCCAACGTTCCCCTCTCTTTGTGACGTCCTGCCATTTGCCTCAAATATTTCATTTACATCATTTCCGTTGCCCATATTGGTAAATTTCCTTGATTTGTCTTCTTTTGTGAGCTGCTTCAATAATACTGTCGTGTATCGTGGATATTTTTTACATGTAGAAAACACTTTGTATTTTCTCATAACTTTCTTGATGCTAGCATGAGTGGTGAGAGTTGATATGTGGTGATATCAAGCGATCATAAGGCACTCGTATATACATACTTGGTTATTATCTAATTACTTTTAATTATTTTTCTAATTGTCCGACAAACGAAACTATTTTTTTTACATGTTAGTTCAGTGGAGATTATGTTGAACTTGGCAAGTGTAGATATTACAAAGCAAGCAATTATTGATCGCTTGTTGGATGGAGTAAAGCAAGTTAGTTTTAAAATATTTGTACGTAGTTCAAAGTTCGAACTTGGAACTTGTAATTTCGTTTCGTCTTTTATTGTATTGATTTTACTCAAATGATTTGGTCGACTTTAACCTCGTCGTTTCTTTAGTGTCAGGTACGATTTGGTAGTACAACGGAATTGGCTTCTGAGAAGGATAGCAGGTGAACTTGATATTTCTTCGATTGTATTGTATTGTATTCATTTTATTTCATAGTATAATCCTTATTTATCATAATCTTTGTATTTATGATGAATTACAGAATCTCTTGTCTTTGTGAGCAATGGAACATTGTTCTTCAATTTGGCATTAAATCCACAAAAGATAAATTCTTTAAGGTATCTTCATCATTCCTCTCTCAATTCAGTCAATTTAAAGCCATTCTTAAATAATTTGTTTTCATCATTTCTATGTTCATTAAAGGCAGGTGTTAATGAGATCTGAAGGTCAATCTGTGTTCTGGCTATTTATCAAGGAGCATCTTAGCTCTAGTGAAATAAAGACATATAATTCTTTACATAATGTAATGACAGATGTTGGTAGAGGTTTGTCAAGTTGTTGGTTTCTAAATGATTCCAGGAATGTTTGTGGGTAAAACCTTTTTGTACGCCATGAATTTGTTCTGACATTTTTCTTTCTATTTTTGATGTTTATTTGGCAGCTCAAGCATGGCTTAGGTCTAGTTTAAACGAGCAATCATTGGAGAAATATCTTCATAGCTTCATTGGGCATAAACAATTGCTTTTGTAAGTTTGATTTAAGTAACATTTAAGAAAGAAAGATCGATTTTGGCTTGATAAGCTATATGATTATCATAACCAATGTATAATGCGATATAGTAATGCAGTTTTCTTTTAACGGTAAGCTGTTGATGTCAGAATAATTATACGATGTGTAATTGTTTTAATTTCAGTCAGTATTATGAGCAAGATGCATTGTTATTGGATGATGAACGATCTAGTATGTTACCAATGATGGCTGCTGGTAAGAATAAACTCGTTTATATTTCTATAATGGATTTTTTATCATTCCTTGTTTCTTCTTTAAGGCTTAAGTTCAATTCTTTTTGCAATTGACAGGTATGCTGGAATGCTATTGATATTGTTTAAAAATGAATCTTTGCAAATAGAAATGTATTGTAAAAAAGTGGAAGCTATGAATGTACTTTTCTTTAACTACTTGAATTTAATTTAATTTTTAGATTCCGGGCAATATCAGCCAAGCAGTTTCTCGTCCAACATCAATATGGGCTGTACCATCACCAATGTATGCAACGTCAGGAGCTCCTGGTGAAGTTTGTTAAATACAACATTTTAAGAAAATAAAGATTTGATCAGAATTTCATTTTTCTCCCCTGATCAAAAATATCCCTTTTATCCCTAATTATCCCTACCATTCATCTCATATATCGCTAATCTTATCATTCCTTAACCACACATGTCATTTATTCCTTGTAATCCCCCAACCATGCGTTCTCCTTAACCTTTATTATCCCATTATTACATGTCTTCATTTATCCCTTAACTATACCTGTTGTTTATTCATCCCTTATCATCCCTTAACCGCGTGTCCTCATTTATTCTTTATCATACTTGAACAATGCGTAGTCATTTATCCCCACGCGTCTTTATTAATTTGTAACTTTTATCTTTCTTTTGTGTTTCAGGAAAAGAAAAGAAAAAACGTAAGAAAAAGAAAGCAAACATTGCTCAAATTGAAAATGTTGAATTCAAAGAGACGGAAGAAGGAACTTCTACTGTCAGTTCTCATGGTAGTTCTTCCACGACAACGACTGCTCACGATAGTGCCACGAGTTTTACCCGAGTGGCATACGACATATTACAACGTAATACTGATTCTCAGGTACATGCTCGTGGTAACCATGCTTTCACTAAAAGGCCTGACGATTTTCTTGAAATGCCAAAGAACTCTCAGTTGGCTTATTGTTCGAATTCTGAGAATACAAGTCTTTCTTCCACAATGGCGAAAACCAACGTTGAGAACAACGAAAATGAAACAGATGAACAAGTGGCTCGATTAACAAAGAAAAGCCAGGAAGTTCTGCTTCTTAAAAACGAGTTTAAAACTGCGAATGATTTGAAAAAAAATCATTCTTTGACAACATCTTTGCAATCAGGGCGTTACACTGACTCGTCGCTCTTGTCGGAGGAAGAGGTTTTTGAGCCTCTTGTTGATATGAACAGCGGTGTATCTCTAATTCCCGTAGTTTGCCCCGATGACGATAAAGGAGTTAGGAGTCTAGCTATGTCAGATGAAAATGAGCAATTTACTGTTGCACCTGAGACGTCGCGACATTTAGTTCATGCAATAAATGATTCGCCCGTTTCAAGGTCAGAAGATTCTTCATTATTTTATCGACAAGAATATCTAGCGAGTTCACCATTTTAACTGAGGTGGTAATTTATGTTGTTTTCAGTATTTACACTGATGAAGACGTCGAGAATGATGCAAGTTTAGCAATTGGAGCAACTGTTGCAGCGATATGTGCCACACGTGATGGTAGCATAGAAATTAATGATTACTCAGGATCGTCATTGGTCAGAACCATGGGTGATGGTTGTATGAATGTTAGTTAATTATGAAATGCTTTTATATTTTTTAAGGGGGGGGGAGGGGAGGGTAGAAAGCCATGTGTAAATATCTTTGTTATATTTAGTTCGTTATATTTGGTATGTTTTCGTTCTTTAGCCATCAGAGGAATATCCATCAGGCAAAGAAATGACTTCAGGTTTGTGTGTTTTTTCTATTCATGTATTTAAATGGTTTTTATTTCTTATATCTTTTGAAAAAGTGTTTTCGGAACGGGAGAGGCACTTTTGCCTCAGGTTCTCAAACTATAAATGGGCTATTAGCAGGTAGAGTTAGTTTTAAATATAGAAATATTTAGTGCAATTGGATTTTACTATTTGTATCGTAGTTGCTTTGCTTGTTTGGAGACATCCGTCAAATTTCATCATGTGAACTGAATCTTTGTATGTGTGAATAATTATAATTTCATGAATATCAATAAATACGTGGTTTTTTATTGTTGAAGAGGAATTAAAACAGGCGATTGTATCGATGATGTTAAGAAAAGATGAAGTTGAAGAACGTAACAGGTTGTATTATCGTCCTTCGTTTAATATTAACATTCCATTCGAATATACACTATTTTGCCCTGATTTTTCCTTCGATCATCTTTCCTGTAGATCATTACAACAACATTTGGAAAAGAGATGATGAAGTCAGCTTCTCTTCGTCTTCAATTAGAAGATTTAAAAAGAGATATGTCGTCGAAAAATGAAGAAAATTGCGTCGCTCTTAACGGCTTAAAAAGGTTAGGACATTGAGAACTCTGCATTTCCGTTAATCAGAGATGTCTGTTGATCTGTTCGTTTTTGCTCTTTAGTGAAAATGATTTGCTCAAATACCAACTAAAGAAATACGTGGGTGCTGTTCAATCGTTGAAAAGAAATGACATTATGGAAGAAGGTTTATTAGAGGGATAGTTTATCTTTAAAATAGATGTAGAAGTCTAAGATATTCGATAATCTTTTGTGTAGCTCTAGAAAATGAAAGACTTTCTTCTATCATTCTTTCTCCGGAGTCTGACGTCGACGAAGTGAGGTATTTACCGTAAATTTGTAGCAAAAGGGAATCAACGGCGATAAATTTCGTTCCTTTTTCTTGTAGAAAGGAAGGAAACAAAGATTTTGAGCGGAAGTTGATCCAAGTAAGATTTCCATTAAACCATAATACTTTTACAAAACGAAACATTTGCCTTAAAAGGTCTTCAGGTATCATATGCTTCATGAAGATGAGCCGAAATTTATTTGATAGAAAACTCTTTTATACGATGCACACGGTGACTTTAAGAAATATCTAATACAAGAAGATATTTTAACTTATGAAAACTGAGGATAAATAACTGAAATGAAATCGTGATATATGTTTAAAAAAACTCGCCACTCTGACTGATTTCGCGTTTCTTGTTCATCCCTGGGGAATTTCATGGTGATGACGTCATGGCGTAAGTTGTGATGAAATGTTGTTTATCATGTTTAAAGGTCGCTGATATGCATGGCGAACTTATTGAACTCAATGAAAGACTACAAAAAATGTTGAATGCTCGTGAATATCAGCTAAGAATATTAAAAGAAGAGCTTGTCAATCTTAGAGGACCGGTATGTTCAGTAAAGACCCGTGTGTTCATTATAGTGCAATAGATGTACAATATTGATCGGTATGTACAATATGAACTGTTTGGTATGAATATGAAAAGCAGTAAATATTCTTTTGATTTTCTAAGTATTTCTTAATAAAACTACGTATCTTCGTATGTTCTAGCTTCCTCAGGACAATAATCATGATGAATGTTTATATTTGACGGAGTTTGGTCCAAATTTCATGTCTGTCAATACTCGTCCTTTAATTAACATTTGGATTCCATCTGTTTTTGTACAAGGAAAGTCTCCAAACATTCACCATTCTTATCAGGTATAATTTTTTCCATATATTTATCTCTAAAAAAAGTAAATAACTCTTCCGATGTGATGTTGATGGTTATCTGGACTAGGTTAGGGATAACTAGGGACTATATTTGAAGATTTATGATCTATATTTGGTATTTTCCTCGTTTCAAATACATCACCCTTGAGAAAAGTGTTTGTGGTCATCGTATTTAAAAGATCGTGTCGTAGTTTAAATCTACTGCTCAAATATTTCACTTTTCATATGTATATGTTTAGTGGTGTTGAGAAAAAATCACAAATCTACAGATTCATCCCGACAGGCCTGTTTCGTGACTGCTCACTCTTCAGGGGATTTTCCTTCAATCCATCAAACATCAATGTAAACACCACGTACAACAGAAAACGTAACGTCACTTGGTTTAACCCACCATACAGCAAAAACGTAAAAACACACATCGCCCATGACTTCCTACAACTTATCGACAAACATTTTCCACCAAATACTATACTCTCCAAGATATTCAACCGACACACAATACGCGTAAGCTACAGCTGCGGCGAAAACATGAAAACTTTCATAACCAGACACAACAAGACTATTTTAAAAAGACTTAACCCAGACACAACCTAGAACAAGAACAACCCACCAAAGAAATGTAACTGCAGACAGAAACATCTATGCCCGACAAATGGCAATTGCCTGAAACCCAACGTGATTTACAAAGCCGACGTGACAACGACTGACAACAACGAAACAATAACTTACATAGGTGTTATTGCATGCGCTTTTAAGACACGATATCGAAACCACATTAAATCAATTACGAACATTAAATACCGGAACGAGACAGAACTTTCTAAATACACGTGGACACTGAAAGAAAACAAACGTAACTACAACATTAAATGGGACTTCATCAAACAACTTCCACCTCGAACAAAACCAAAGAACCTGCCGTCTTTCCCTTGAAGAAGGCTACTTATCCTGAAAGGACGTAAAAAGAACATTTTAAATAAACGTTCCGATATGTTTAGTGCATGCCGTCATGTAACTTAACACCTTTTAGTCGATGTATATGGTCAGCAAATAAAATATTATTTGTCAGTTGCCTGAAGATCGCCCTACGGCGTGAAACTCTGAGTAGCGACAGCAAACAATTGTCCATTTTATTTTAGTTCATTTTATATATATATATATATACAAAGTGTATAACAATGTGCCCTCCCGGCTATCACCATAGTAAAATGGTGACTCCTGCACTTGGGACACAGGATGTACGTTGCTATATATATATATATATAGCATCTGCGCAGTGGTCCATTTATTGTCGTCAATAAAGAATTTAACTTTGTTTACTTCACAAGGTTTATATCCGTATCAAAGACGATGGATGGAATGTTTACAAAAGATACTCGGATTTTTATGCCCTACATAAGAAGGTTTTTAATAAACATCAGTATTTTAATTTTTTTAATCATATTGTTTTGCCGTAATGTACAATCCCTTCCTTTTCCTTTTTATGCACAGACAAGCAAGCAGTTTAAACCTGTTGCACAATTCACGTTTCCCGCGAAGAAAATTATTGGAAATCGTGACGTCAATTTTGTGGAAACACGTCGGAAACAATTGGGAAATTACTTGAGAAAATTGATCAATTATAGTCTGGGTGCTGTTCCAGAGTTAGGTGAAAATCCTTGCAAGAGTTTGTTCAAATACTTTCAATTTTTCATGTGAGTAAACACGTGATCTTTTTCATGTGAGTAAACACGTGATCTTTTTCATGTGAGTAAACACGTGATCATGTTTGAGTGTACTTTATTGTTCAATATACAGAATATTAAACGATTTTTTAGTGTTAATGTTTGTAAGGCAAGAATAGACAGAAAAAATTGAAAGTCAAAACAAGAACATAAAGCAGTCAAGCGCATGCGCTGATTGGTCTATAGCTGTGTTTTCATTAGCTTGTGCAAACCGATCTGAGCTCAACAATTCAAATCAATCAAAGAGAATTCGCAAATCAATCATGAATACATTTTAGAGGAAAAATTAAATACTGTTTGTGGCTTATGCAAACCTCGGAGACGTTTGTGAGAACTCTTGAGCAGGTGCAACACTCTACCTTCGGTTTTGGGCTTGCACTGATCTGCTCTCGTGTTCTCTCAAAGGTCTCCTCGGTTTGCATAAGCCCGTGCAAACACAGTAAAATTCTTTTATTTCGTAATAATACAACACAAAGAACTCAAACTTTGGCTTGTTTTAGACAGAAAATCAAAATGCTACTACCTATTATTTCATGAATAGTTTATCAATTTTTCTCTAAACTTTCAGCAAATATTTTACAGGCAAACTTCAACGGTATCATCTGTTTCAACGACGACAACGACAAAACAAACTGTTCCTCCTACACATAATGGTTTATAGGTAAAACTTGTAGGATGTCTGTCGAAAAAAACGGAGCATAGAAATTGTATAAGTTATATTGTATATATATAACATACGTATAGTTCAGTATATATAAATATAATATGTCTACAAAGTAGAAGAATTTCCTGATGCATCAACTTCAACGACTCTTTATTGTATGTGTTATATATAGATATAATTTGTCAGTATTTGCTAGTATATATTAGTACTTAATACTGGGTTTTAACAAGTTAAAACATAATATTTAACTTGAAATGAAAACAATCGTATATTAAATACATCACACGAAACCTACTATGCTATTAAATGTTGTGCTATCTCAGCACGATTTGATCAATTTACATATCCCGCGTCACCCAGCTCTTGCTGACGAATGTTTATACGACTTGACACGTGACCAATTTTGATCAATACGTCATATGACTTTTTGCCGATCTTTCCCGCGCTATAGTAAAGGGATTTCTTGCTGAAACAATCTTTATCGTAAGTATTACGTAAAATATTTCATTTGTAAGTTTCAAAGTATTACAGTGAGTAATATAATCTTTTTATTTCAGAGAAGAAGCGTAACGCATACAGTCGTTATTGTAAGTATTGTACAAAATTTCTAAGAATAGGATTTACTACTTCCTACATGTATGTATTGTAATATGAAGATGTCTTCAGCTAAAGACGAAACGTTATTGTTGATAAAATTATACACCCATGGCCATATCAAAAGTTTTAAAATGGGCAATTATATTTATACTAAGAATTCGCTTTCCGCCTTGCAAATCCATTTTCACAATATTTTATAACATCACAACAAGTTTAACCTGTTGAATACATGATTCTTTCTTTGAAGCTGTTGCAAAAAGTCGTTTCCAAACTCGAAAAAACGAAAATGGCCGTTGAAGAGTAACGTTTTTTTTACAAAAGTTTATATCAGTTTTACCCTAAAATATCAGCTGCTTCTTCCTCAGTCAAACTTTATACTTCATTCCTCATTCATTTTTCGAAGCTGTCGGGAAAAGTCTTTCAAGAAGTCAGAAAAGATGTTGACGAAGAAACATGGCATTGCCGAAGTTTTTGTTGTACATGGTGGTTTTTTTACCAGAGGTTTGACAATTGCTGGTTTATCAAAGATCTTTACGTTAAATACATGATTATTTTTTGCAAAGCTCTTTGAAAAAGTCGTTCAAGAAGTCAAAAAAGACGTTAACGAAATAAGGACCGTTACAGAATGGCATTGCGGAAATTTTCGTTGCACAAGGTCGGGTTTCTCTTGGCGAATTGTTGCCTCCAATATTAGCTGCTTTTATGTCCATCGTTTGTATCTTTACTGCTTACTGAAATAACTGCCGAAAGTTTGTGTAAGAACATGTTACATGTTACATGTTCGTTCGCTGAATCCCGGCTATCGGGCTCATATAAATAGTCCCTAAAACTAAAGGTAAGTTTATGAAAGTATTGCAATAATATTTTTCTATTCTGTTCATTCCTTTGATGTGTGCAAAACTAGTTGGTCAGCCTTCATTTACCATTGAAGACCTTTGTATAATTTCAATGTCTGTCACTACGTCAAGCCCACAGGTGCATGGAACATTGTTAGCTACGTTGATGCAAGCACGAAAGATTTTCCTCCATTGAAAATGTAATGCACTAGTGATGTTAGCACAGTGATTGGGTTTCGAAATTTTACAGTAGTTTAATTGCCAAACGTCGTTTTTATGTACACCCTGTAGAATGCTAATTAAAAAAGAATAAATGTTAATGCTAATAAATACAATAAGAAAATGAGATGAAGATAACAATCTAGAGGTTTATCAAATCATTTTTGACATCAGTGGACCTTTAGAATTTGCATGATTCAGCTGTAGTTGTTCCCCAAGGAGACTTAAATGTTTGGGATTTGCTATTTGCTGTAGCTGAAGTATACGTTTTTATTTATATTGTATTAAATTGCATTTACCGCTCTATGGGGATTAATTACTTCTAAGTGATGAATCATGCAAATTCTAAATTTCACAATGTACAATTGACGACACACCTGGTAAATGACCAATCAGAACACAACAGTTTATAGGACACACCTAGTCACTGACCAATCAGAATACAACACGTTCGTGAAACTTGGGCCATAGTCTAAGACTAAGAACGTGCCATTTGAACGTGAAAGTCTGTAGTTGCACGAAGAATAGTTAGCCGAAGTGGAAATTATTCCACGGTGAAATATCTCTTGGAGTGCTTTGAAAAATGTTCAGGTAAATGTCTTGTTTCAAGTTCTTTTGCATTGAGTAAACCCTGAATTGGGACACTGCATGTGATGTTCATTAATGCAAGGTGCAGTGTGGCCTTTCCATAAAGTTTCCGTCTTAGTAACTTTTGTTTCCTCTATGCTTGATTTTAGACATGGACATTCTTCTCTTAAACGACAATTAGTCATCAAATGAGATTGAGAAACAACGAACAAATATTTGGTGTATTCACCATGATCGTAGACTCTACAATTAAAGAAAGTGGTTATTGTTCACAGCGGTTGAAGAGAATTGTGGCTGTTGTCGACCAGCTCCTCGACGCTCATCTAAACATATGAACAAAATACAATTCTGTAATTTGGTTGAAATTCTTCTTCCCTTGAACTACATTACTAGTGAATAAAGTGTGCAATGTAAGTATGTTATCAATGTTTTTCATTTATGGAAGTATAGTGTGAACTGACATTGGCTTCAATTGTCCTATGTAGAAACCTTCTGATCAAAAATGGACAATATACGTACTTTAATGAAATCCTCTGAACAATCAAAGATCAAGAATGAACAATTTACTTTAATGAAGTCCTCTGAAGAATTCTCAAGAATGAATAAGTTACTTTAATGAAGACCTCTGAACGATGATCAAGAATGGGCAGTGTACTTTGATGAAATCCTCTGAACAATGATCAAGAATGAACAGCATACTTTAACGAGTCCTCTGAAGAATGATCAAGAATGAACAATTTACTTTAATGAAGACCTCTGTACAATGATCAAAAATGAACAATATAGTTTGATGAAATTGAAAAATACGTGACTTCTAATGCCTTAAAGTCCATCTCTACAAAGAATGCAAACGCTAAACAATCTTCTGGAGCAATGCATCCATCAGCCTAACGCCTGTTTCCATGGAAAAGTCAATATTATGACCTTTTCTAAAACATTTTGCTGGGAGTTTTCCTGCTAACATCACGACTGGTCAATCAATCGCAATGATGGAGAAAACCACGCCGCTATCAAATGCCCAAATTTCAACATTATTTAATTGAAAATTTTTGTAATAAAAACATGGAATTTCCTTAACATGAAAATAAAAACCTAAAATCCTAATTTTCCGACTGGCTGTCGATATTTCCGATTTAATGCCGTAGACGACATGCACAGTTGCAAGAAATGGCCAATCTTGTTTCTGTGCTTGCCGTCGTCGACATAAAAGCGGTGATGTTTGTCAGGTAGCCTGAAAATTGGATACGATGGTTTCACCATCAACGTTCTGAATTTTTCAAAAAATTATTTTGGGCTTTTTTGTGGCTGTCCTTGCTCAACATCCGATCGTTTCATCTTCACAATTGGCATGAGATTTGTCATTCATCGTAGTCTGTCGTCGAACTGCCAAGGATTCGTCGAAAACCGTAAGTGTAATAATAATAAACCTTTTATTTAGTTAGGCCTGTTAACAGGTCAAATCTCTAATATAATTCGGGCAATAGCCACAACAAATCCTGGTGTTCAGTATATTCCACTGTAAGGCTATTTTTTTAATGCAGGAATGCAAATAAATATATTTAAAGAAATTTACATCTGCATTTTCAAAAATAGTCTTGATTAAGAGGTAATAAAAGTGTTCTTTTGGTTAAAATAATCCAATAGTGTTTATCGGTGCTGCTTTAATTCTTATTAATTTGTGTCTTAGTAAGCGTGAATTTGTATCAACTATTTTAAGTCTGTGACTGGCATGCAACAATTGTGTGGTTTTATATAATTTACCTTCGAAAAACCTCTGTGTGAATATACTGCTTTAAGGAGCTACGCATGATCGCAGCGGTTGTTGCCTCGCAGAAGGATAGGCAGGACCATAGCTTAGAATCGGAAATGCAAGTGAAGTTTGGCCCAAGGAAGGCAACTTCAACTTGGGGTTAGTGGGTACAAATGGTACCTTAGCGTAGAGGATGCAAATAGCATCTGTAAGAAGACCTTTGAAGACTGGATCAAGCGAGCAAGGCCTATTGAAGACCAAGGGAAGATCGTGGTTTTGGTGGAAAGAAAAATATCTCTCCCCTAGTACGGTAAGAGCATGCAGTCGTTGTAGTTGGCCAATTTCATGAACGGCTTTCTACATTGACTATTAAGGCACTCCTGCATGGATCCCCTATAATGCATGAGTAGTTCAACCCACCCCGGTTGGAGGTCGCCCGTAGGTGCAACATGCACTAGGTTAAGTTAAGTTAAGGGCATGATGGGTTACCTCCTTCAAGGGGCATTCCTTTTCAGGGCGGAATTCCGGTGCCATGCGCAGGTAGGAAGTTTAGATAGCTTAGGCATGCGCTGTAGTTGCAGCGGGTAGTTGCTACGCTTAGATAATGAGTATGGGGTTAGAACCTTTATAAATTTAAAGGATGAACTCCACTATCAAGAGAAATGACTAAATTTTTCAAAATCTTTCGAAGGAAACTTTAATCTTGTCAGTCATTTTCAAATCGACAAATTGAAACTCAAATAGTCTTCAGTTTGTCAAGACATTTACAGTTTAGGAGCGGCGTGGCAATTACTGTAAATGTAAAAATGGATATGTTGTTTTCTTATTAAGAAAACTTCATTCCTGGGAATTTCGATGCGGCAAGCCACAGCAAAAACAGGCATAAAAAATGTTTAGTACACCAGGTCTAAGTATACGGAATGGCTTCATATTAACCAAACTAACACGAAACATAGTTTTAATAAAAGTACATTGTTTGTTTTCTTTGATGGTTACCATGAAGACAAACCGCAGACGTTGTCACATATGATACAAAATAGTTACACGATGGTTTCCATGTTCACCATTCGCGTTGCTATGTAGTCATCTATGTGATAATTGTCAAACTAAAACATAATTAAAATCAAGCGCTGCCGGTTTTCGGTTTAAACCATCCACGGTCCCTCGGTAACCAAAATCAACGTGTGCTTCTTCAAGTGTTCTAAATTGTTTCAAAAAATATTAAATTTCGTCTGTCTGCTTAAAATATTTTGAAGTACATTTATCTAATCCATGTCATTCAGCAAGCGCTTGCTCCAACTTTAAGCGTTAGTGGCACCGGGCGCGCAAAGCACTGAATGAAACGGTGCAAAATAGGGACTGCTAAGGTGGCGCTAGGTGCGACTGATTCGGATGTGGATTAGATAAGAAAAACACACGTTAAAAGAAATTCCCATCCAAATTACACAATTTTCTCGTCCAAAGTAGAAAATTGTCGAGTTCGCTGATTGGTTTACGTGCGGTAAAAGTAAAATGTGGCGGTTTGTACGTAAGTTGTATGTACGTTAAAAATGGCGAATTATATCCATAACTAAAATACTTGAAAGATTTTTGGACTTGAAGGTGTATTTTGAGAAATTAACGGTTTTTTCTTTTTTTTGGTATTTGCATCGTTGCAAGGTAAGTAAAGATTTTGGTTTCTAAGGGTCCCCCGGGGCGCGAAACTTCGGCTGAAATCCCTAATGGTTTTTTCCTCTTCAGTATTCTCCAAATTCTCGTGGCGTTGTGTTCGGTTTTGGTTTATACCGTTCAGGTTTTTCCATTAGGGATTTTTTATTTCGGTTAAGTCATCAAAAAAAAAGCCATGGAACAAAAAGAAATGCAATTTGAAGGCTATGGATGCTTAGCTGAGCGAACCTAGGGTATATCAGCTAAAATTTACAGCCATCTTCACTTTCGTTAAAAAACTGCGTCATGTTTAAGCAGTTCTGCATTTTAGAACAGTTTGGGGATTTCAGTTTAATCATTTTTTATATTTATTTACTTAACACTTATTGTAAATGTGAAAGTTAAACTTGCATGTATTTGGGGCGTAAAGTTGGATATTTAAGCATTTTAATGCATTATAAAAAAGCTGATAATTGTTTATTGTTTGTGACTTTAAATTGTGAAGTGTAATTGAACGACAAAGCCCTTGACCTGTTTTTGTCTATTACGATCAAGCAATAACTTACCAAATTTGAGCTTTAAAATTCTACAAAGATCAAATTTTGGAACTATAAAATATTCGAAATATGTTCAATAGCCAAAATCATTTGAACTTTCCAAGAAAAAAACAGCCCAACTGTGGGGTATCTTCAAAGAGCGGAAAATTTAGTCTTTGGGTTCAATTCCCAATACACTGTTTTTTAGTATATGTGCAATCAAATTGTCAAGTTTGGATTAAATCCGTGTCGGATAATCCATGATATAAGGAAGGAACTTTTAAATTTTAAAGAATCTTTGCAAGACGCAACATGTTAATCAGATTGAAGATCATGGAATCGGGTAAAGATTAAGGATTACAAAATAACAGTCCCATTCTCCCAACGCTCTCGTCTAAATGTAAACAATAGTATGAAACGATATTGAAACAAAGCAAAGAAAAGTTTTTACGTTTTTATTAGTTGACTAAGTTGAGGGAAGCTTAGTACTTTCCCCGTGTTTCATAAAAATTCATTGAACTACGGTGAAGTAAACATATTAAAAATGGCTCTTGAAAATACGGTCCAATTATCCGAGAAATACGAAGCAGTTATGGTTCTCAGTGGAGTGGGGATGCTCTAGGTTATAAAAATGTTTTGTGGGAATTCTGTTACATCGGTACTCAAATTCATGAAGAACTAGAAAAACTCGGAGGACTTGATAAAATTGACATTAAAGGATGGAGGGTTAGTGACGACACTGTACTACACATTGCTACAGCAGAAGCGTTGGTTTCTGAATGGACAACAATGGAAGAGTTATTGAGCATTATGGCTACAAAGTACAAGAAGACATGTGCTGAGGATATGTGGGAAAGAGCTCCCGGTCAGACCACAACAAAGGCATGCTTCATGTTACAACCTCTTGAGGAAAAAGGTTACATTATACCATTTAATGAACGAGGTGGAGGATGTGGTGCAGCTATGAGATCCATGTGTATAGGTTTGATGTTTCCTTGTGAAGATCATTGAGTTCTATAATAACTGGAGCGGCTATCTCAAGCGCGGCCTTAGATATCTGATGACGCCAAAAAAATGGCGGATTTCGTCCGTTGCCGCTGAGATTTACCGAAATTGACCGCTTTTCCGAAAATTTCACAATTTCCCACTCCCTCCTGAGGCAAGAGTGAGGAAAATGTATGTGTGTATTTGGGATTCGGCAAGCAATTTTTTGATGAAAATCAAGGTAAAAACCTTAAATTCATAACAGCGAGTCAACTGTGGTTGTCAGTTATCTGCTCTTACGAGGATGCATTTATAACTATCGACGAAAGAGCTATAATATATGTCGGCTACACATGAATGAATGCAGATGTGCGTCGTTCTTTTACCAGCGTCAAACTTGTTTGATCGATTAAACTCTTTAGTCTATATGAAAAAGTATATCATAGCTCATCTCCACAGTGGCTCACGGGAGAGAATTTAGCTTATTTGTTATCATTGCTATTTTGCTTCTTTTCATGCAATGGGCAATGGCTTTTTTCGCCACAATTGTAGAATTTTTACTTGTTTCTTTAAAAAAGTAAATATTAAATCTCTGGATATTTACGGATTTTCTGTAATTGAGTTTCATATTAAATTTCAAAAAGACTCAAGTCTGCATAGGTTTGGTAAATGAAAACAAACAATATTGTATAGAAATTACTTTAAGTAACCTTTTTGTGATGTTCTGAAGTGCAACTGCATCAAATACTTGTAAAGTTGTAGCACATTTTGATTTTGTTGTATTGATATATGAATTGGGCAAAATGCAAATGATCGTCAAAACAGTTATGCTTCCAATGGTGTTTATAATTCATTTGTAGTTTTAATACTTCTACCTTCTTTTTCACTTTGTTTTGTTTTTCCTATATTTGCAATAAAAGTGCACTATAATTTGAATGATTAACACAGTTTTCACCTCAATAATAAATTTCATAAGCATTTGGTAGTGCATTTTGTTCTCTGAGTATCCACATCTGGTGTTTTGTTCATACAAGAATGATGAAGTGCAACTAGATATGTCATAGCAAGGCAATAAAACCAAATGAATTACATACCTATAGTGTACTTTTATGCTAGAAGCTTAAAAGCTTTTTAGAAATTAGAAAGTTATTGGATTATATTACCTCTATATCATCAATCTCGTGATAAGAAATAAGAAGCAAAAAATTTGTGGAAAAGCTTTGAAAAGTGAAAAACTTTTCTTTAAAAAAGCAGCAATAATGCATATGATAAATCTCCATTCTGTACTCTAATAGGTAAATAAGCTCAAATTTTTCTTAAAGAAATATAAGAAATATATAAGAAATATACAGTACAGTAATTTTAAAGGTTTCATTACTGAATCTTTAATGCTTCAGTATAGTGCATTAGATATTAGTAACATTCAAACAACACTCAACTAAAATATTTTGATAAAGATATGACATGATTAAAACATTAAGTTATATAAAACCCAATGGCTTATACAGTTTGATGCTTCACATCTGCATCGAGTCATCATCAATCTCAGTTCTGTTCTGTTCTGTTCAGGTGCCATGCATGATGCATGCTTGGGCTACCATGTCTCTCTAACGTTGACGGTTACGAGCACAGGCAAAGATTTCTGCAGTGTTGGCGATTCCGGTAACTTTCTTAACTCTGTCCAAATACGTTATGCGTTGACGGCCTCGTGCTCTTTTCCCTTCGATTTTTCCTTGCAGCGCAACACATTCCAGGCCTTCCTTCCGAACTACGTGGCCAAGAAAACGAAGTTGTCTCTCGATTATTACGGAGAGTAGTTCTCTCTTCACACCGGCTCTTCTCATAACCTCTTCATTTGAGACGTGATCAATAAATGACACTTTCAACATCCTTCTCAAAAACCACATTTCTGCTGCTTCTAAGTTTTTCTCCAGGTCAGCAGTTAGAGTCCAGGCTTCACAGCCTTTCAGTACAAATGTTTATATAGACACAAACTTTATGGCCTTTCCATTTTATATGTTGTGAATTGACATTTAATTAAGCATCAAAACACACACAACCTTCTTGCCATCTTTTCTTGGTTCATGAACTTTAACTTCAAAGCATTCAAGGCATCATTAGTGAATCCATTGTCTCCATCCATAGAATTTGACCATGATCAAATTAAATAACTCTGGATAAAGCAGACAATAAATCAATTATCTTTACAGCATTATCATTTTTTTAAGACTCTGCCTGGTCAATAACATCTTCCAGTCATCTTTACTCCTTGGTCTTCCCTGCATGTTGTCAGCAAATAGAACATAACAAGCTCTGCTCCAAATCATGGGTACTGTTGGGGCTGATCATTTCTTTTTGATACTTTTCACAGAGCAAAATGTGTGCAGGGTATTTTTTGCTTTAGGGAAACTATTTTGCAAATAGATAGGTAAATTTACGATTTCATGCATTAACAAATGACAGAAAAGTATGCAGAATTTTATAGACAAAAACAGGAAAACATCAGTATATTTGGCGTTCAAGTCAGTCTTAAAAAATACGATCTTTAATATGTATTTTATGGCTTTTCAAGTGCATGTATAATTGCTTTTCAATCGTTAACGGACTAACAAAACAAACTACCTCACCTGTGAGAAGCGATATGTTCCTTTTTGTGGAAACTACGACATCCAACAATTGAACGATTGAAGTGTTGGCATTATAAGAGAAATGCCAAAAAAGAATCGTCACAGAATATGGAACTAACGATATCCATATTCTGTGATATCGTGTTTGTTTTTGAAAAATTCTTTATAATTTACTACAGACACCAGGGGGAGGTCGAGAATATTATTTTTCTGCAAAGCGATCATTTCAGCGGAAATACGTCCGTTGGCCGCCATTTTTTTGGCGACCTCGCCCCAGTAAAGTTAGCCGCTCCAGTTATTATAGAACTCAATGGTGAAGATCAAATTGAAATGTTAATTGAAATTGCTGTTGAAAGTGGAAGGATGACTCATAACAACCCCACAGGTATTCACCTTTCATAATAAAGCAACGATTTCAGATCATGTCTCAATTATCAAGTCACTAATGTCTTGTGTTCTGTCTATGAACAAGTGTTGCTTTGTATAAAGTTTGCTAGGTTTTCCTGTTATCTGCATTTCATTTCATTTTAACAAACCTTTATAGTGATTTAGCTTTTCAATCCTTTTGCTTTTCTTAGATGTTTTATCTTCAACTCTTCCTTCGATTACTTACTTGATAAAGCCATTACCATGAATGTTTCATATCCTTTTATCTAATATCAATTTATAAATGAAATAAAAGAACGTTGACCTTTGGGTTGCATAAGTCTATGCAATCCATCATTTTCTAGAACCACATCTCAAATGCCTCCATCCTTCTTACATTGCTCACTTTAAATGACCATATCTTTGATCCATCCCTTTTATCGCTTTTCCACATTTCCAAATTTCTGTCTTCCAAAAACTGTATGAATTGCCATTGCTGTTTTGCTTTAATATCTTCATTACTTTAGCCATTGAGTCCATGATCAATATCAAAATGCTGCTATTATGTAAATAGGTCATCATAATGTAAGTGACCTAAAATTAGCAATCTTTAAAGATATTGATTTTAATTATAGGTTATCTTGGGGCTGTTACTGCAGCTTTATTTACAGCATATGCTATACAGAAGATGGCTTTAAAAAAATGGGGAGCAGGACTTTTAAGTATTTTACCCAAAGTTTGGGAATACATTGAGAAGGTTGGTCGTTATGTAGAAGAAAACAAGAAAGCTTGGGGTTACTTTAAAAATAGTTGGGAGTCATATCTTGAACTACGGGGATTAATGAATGGAAGCAGTGAACCAAAGTTTCCAGTGACATATAACATACCTGAACATGATGCTTTTTATAAATCTGTCAGTTATGCAGGTTGGGGTGGATCCAGTGGTCATGATGCACCAATGATTGCTTACAATGCTTTGATGATGGCAAAAGATTCCTGGTTTCAATTGTGCTCTTGTTCAATGTTTCATGGCGGGGATAGTGACAGTACAGGAATATTGGCTGCAGCATGGTGGGGTGGTATGTATGGTATGAAAGGTGTAACCCTTGGAAACTATAGGAACCTGGAATTTGGTCATAGGCTTATGGAGCTTGGTAAAAAATTACTGAATGTATCAAAGAATATGCACAACTAACAGGATAGTATTTATTTAACAAAATTCTGTCATCCCAATATACTTTAGTATGTTTTTAAATCATACAATAAAAATTACTACTTGGTTAAAACATAAAAACAAATTACTTTAGAAATAAAGTCTAAAGAAGAATGTCAGATTCAGGGCATGGGCAGTTCTAAGTTCTACTTAGTATGATTCCCGGCTGTAGAGTAAGTTTATTGACTAGATATAAGTGAAACTATAAATAGACAAGGACCATTACATCTTTAGGTTCATTTTACCTCACAAAATGCAAACTGCAAACGTTTTATTCCCTATGATTTGGACCTAACGATTGTTTTTGAATTTCCAGAGCTTTTTCGTAAAAATCTATAGCTTTGTCGTAGTTTCCAGTATCACTATACACATCACCAAGATTGTTTAAAAACCTAGCAACATCAAC